GATCTCTCCATTTCTGATTTAGATGCTAGATCACCTACTGTGCCGCCAGCGGCTCCAACCTCCGCCTCAATAATTTCATCTGCCATCTCTAGCTCACACAGCTCCTCTTGATGCAAATCCAGTGGACTTTCCTCAGTGAACTTTCATTCCAGGCAAAATCCAAAAGGGCAGTTCCAGCTATATGTAAGAACTGTGGTACTCAGTTCCCAGTGAAAGCAACTCTCATTGAAACCAATGCAGGTTCAAAGGAAAGTTCATGTATTGGAAAGTAGTGAACAGCTCTAGAAGCATAGTTGGAACTCTAGAAGCATAGCTGGAACTGAGTTCTGCACACAGCAAAACTTAGTTTTACCTCAGTCCTATTTCACCTCCCCTTCTGTCTTTGAATCTCTCCTGTGGATGTTGAAGCTATCCTCAGGTTCTTACATTGATATGATCTTGGGCATTCCTGAGAGCCAGATACGTTCCAGTCTCCCCCCCGCCTTCTGTAATGGCAGAAACAAAGCAAGCGAACTAGCAGTGCAAGTGATTAATTGTGAGGATTCATTAGGCACCCCATTCCAAGGCCTAGAAGAAAAGACAGGGATTTAAGGACTTCCAGAACACCATTAGAGTGGGAGCTGGATGTATTTCTAGGGGGATGATGTTCCAGAGGGCAGATGCTGCGACAGAGAAGGTATGCTTCCTTAGTCCTGCAGGATGACCACCTCAGAGAGCCAAGATGCACCCCGGATTGACACATAGAGGCTGCACTGGAGCAATCCAACCCAAAGCTTGGTTCCTCTGCCTATTCCAGGCTGCAACCAAGGTCTCAGCCAAGCTGCCCACCAGATCGTCAGGGAAACCCCCAAACTCCCTCTGAATCCAATTGGGTTTAGCAGTTGCCTGGGGCAGGCCAATCATACAGGCCCTATTTCATGGGGGCAGATGGCACCAGTAAGTCAGAGGGCAACCAGAGAGTAATCTGTCTATGGCAAGAGATTGGTGATAATATCTTCCAATACCACATTATGTTGCAACTGCCCCAAGACAAAACCAGATCTAGCATATGACTCCCAGTATGTGTCAGGTTCTCAATTACTTGGGACAGGTCCAAGGTTGCAATGAAGGCCATGAACTCCTGAGCCATCCCACACTTGATGTTCCCAGGAGGTAAATTAAAGTCATAGAGAACTACCAGCCTCAGGGATTCCACTGCCAGCCCAGTAACAGAATCTATCAGTTCACATAGGGATGATGCTGTGCATCAGGAAGGGCAGTACAATAGCAGGTATCCCAAAAATTCATGAAGGCCCAACTTTAGCTGGAGGATCTCACATTATCTGCATAGCAGAGCCTTTGAGTGCCCTCACCAACTCACAGATAATAGTCACAACCCCAGGGTTTCAGTTGATGCAGAACCTCAAACCTGGACGGGCATATTTTCGAGAGAGATACACCTCTCTGGGCACACCCAGGTCTCAGTAATACAAGCCAAGTCAGCATCCCCTTCTACAATAAAAACATGGATGACAGGGAGAGGGCGGAGCTGGCGTCACGGTGGTACGGCGGGCGATCTTGGGCTCCCAGGATCACAGCCGATATCTCCCCTGCCGGATGGTCCCGATGGACCTAAGCCGTCCCGTAGAGACGGTGATTGTAAAGGGCGCGTCC